CTTACTACTTACTACTTACTGCTTACTACTTACTACTTACTACTTACTACTTACTAGTAAGTCGTACTACTTACTACTTACTACTTACTACTTACTACTTAATACTTACTACTACTACTACTACTACTACTACTACTACCACCACCCCCATCACCACCACCACCACCACCACCACCACCACCACCACCACTACTACTACTACTACTACTACTACTACGAGAATTTCAACTGTTGCTAGTATTTTTATCATTACTATTACACTACTGCTACCACCATTCACTCCCCGCCCACCCCTCCCCCCTCCACCCCTAAAAACAAAACAACATGGCCACAAGCGAGAACTTGGAGCTTCGTGCGTGAGCGGGGCTGGGGCTTGCGAGGTCAACAACATAGTCATAGAAGGCTTCGTGTCATCCATCGCGGTGTCCCTCCAGCACCTCTGCGAGATCCTTGATCCGCTGATCATAGCAAAGCATGAAATGCTTCCGCTCTTTGAAGTCAAGGTGCATATGAGGGCTGAGTGGCAAAACAGCAGATGAGAGATCTCACCCAAGCTGCTTGACTGTCCCGGCCTGTGGCATGCAGGTGGAGTTGCAAGACTCGGAGATCATCTTTGATCCACCCTTCCAGTCGCACAAACCGGGCGATATTTCACTTAGAGCGACCATTGATGGCTGGCTGAAGGATTTTTTCGCCACCGTTACCTGCATGCAGCGTCTGGACACCGGCAGTGGTGATTATCTCAACGAGATTCGCGAGCATTTCCAGATGCTTCTTGGGGGCAAGCGGTTTGCACCATTTCGTTAGCATGGTGCCGTTGTTTGTGCAGCCCAGATCGCAGCAACAATAATCAGCTTTCAGCCCTCCTCCCCTCGATTCCTTTCCACACACATTTTTAGATCCGCGGCTTCAACTGAGGCAGTGCCTGCTGGCCTTGGTGTCGGAACTCATCGACAACACAGAGCTGAAGTGCTTCTTGGCCGCATGGTGTTGGCAGCTCTGATCGGGTGCATGCAGTGTAGTTACAACACTGGTCACCTGGAAGGGACCTGAAGCGTGACCAACGAATTTGCTACTGTAAGCCTCACGATGTACAGAATGACCAGAGCACAGAATACCACCGTCGCCGCGAACAAAGGCATGGATTACCGTGAGACCTTCATGCAGCACTCGCATCTCGACGGGCAATATCTTTCGGTCGGTGAGCCTTAGAACCGAACATCTCGGAACACTGAGGTATTTATGGACCGAGTCGATTGACAAGTCTTTCGAGAAGTTCTTGCAGGACGGTGTCAGGATGGCCCGTGTGCAGGATGCGAATTGCACCCCGGTGCCAGGAGGGTGCCCGCGACCTTGTGGAAGGCTTCGAGGAGGAGGGGCAGAAGGGACTGTCCCTTGAACCGGTCGTGCAAGGTGTTGGTCTCCATGATTTCTACCGGCAGCATGTGTTTTTGTGAGCTTACTTGCCTTTGGCCGTCTCTTAGGTCTTTCCGCGACATCATGGAGCGTATCAAGGTTGACATCGGACGGCAGATCCCGCCGCTCGAGCAGTTCGACAAGCAGATCATCAACTTCAAGAACCTGAAGCAGGACACTTCTCAAAACTATTGGCGGAGCAGGCTGTAGGCTTGCAGGCTCAGTCTTGTCCTCTACATGACCAAGCCTTTTGGCTTTGAGTTTGGCTGCTTCATGGTGCTCTTGTAGGATCTGTCCAACATGAAGACGCCGGTGGACATCCACTGGTTGCGTGTAGGAGACGGGCTGCGATTGCTCGACAGCGGCATGTAACTACAAGCGGTTGAATCTGCGAATCGCAGGAGCGCAGCCGGTGAAGCTGAAGCTGGTCTCTTTCGCGCGACAGTGGGAGGAGAAGTATGTGGACTTCATCAAGACATTTACAGAGGACGGGGGTTACTGAACGCAGCGCCGGAGCGAATGGCATCGGGTGTTGCCACGGCAAATGCCCGCATAGAGCGTTTGAGGAGCGGATTCGTACCTTGGTCAAGTTCATCAACGAGCAGCAGGAAGGTTTGGGCCCGCCATCTCCCGTGGATGAACCCGAGAATGAGAAGCTTCTGCAGCTCGGAAAGATTCTTTCGCGATTTTGTTGAAGCAGGACATACAATCGCCACATCAGGTACTCGACCATGACCAACATTCGCGACGTGAAGCTGGCCACAAATGCAGTGAAGAAGCTATTCCCGCCCATCAGGGACCTGTGTCAGCTCCTGAAGAAGCATCACGTGAATCACGATGGTCTCAGTGAGCTTGACCAGGCCGCTTGTGATAAAACTCTCAGTGCTGCCTCTCTGGACTACATGTGCACCTGGCACGTTCTAGGCACCCAACAAATGGGATGAAGTGATCCGCATGGCCTTCGATGTCAAAGAGCAAATTCTACCTTTGCAGAGTGTCCCTCGGCTGGAGATGGCCTGAGTGGTGCAGGCGGCGGCACTGGTGTGCTTGTTTGCTCACCTTGGCACTTTGTATGTTTGAGTATTCACCTGAACCTCCTAGAAGAGTGACATTTCATGCGAAATGTTGCGCAGCATTCTTGTATGTCTCCGTTGTGGAGAAAGGAAGAAGTCCTCAAGATCCGCAACAAGATCGATGTTTTTGCGGAAGAGCTTCAGGGTTTCTGCCACGAATTCCGCGAAAAGTGCCCTTTCGACCCCTCGAACGCTGTGAACGGCGAATACGACCTGAGCTACGAGACCATGAACGAGCAACCAGACTTTAGCCTAGGGCGGCGGATCTACGCACATGCAAATGCAGCATGTGGCATGTTCTCGTCAGTGTGCGCCAAGCAGTGAAGAAAAGGTACTACAACAAGACTCTGGCAATTCGGCAGCGTGCCAACGAATTCAACGTGTTTCGGCATTGTCATGGAAAGCTTTCTTTTGACTTCTTGACTTGTCCATTACTGGGATAAAGTGCCGAGCCGGTATGAGGGAACATAGCGACCATGGCTTAATACGGTGCTGCAGTTGGTGCAAAATTCTGCAAGTTTCGCTGCGAGTGTGGGAGGACCTGGAGCTGCTGTTCGATATGCAGATGTCCAGCTACCGAGAGCTCAAGGATGCAAACATGGCAGATGCCTGTTCCCCCCACTTTTTCGCTAGTCGAAACTTGGGACCAGGACTGCCAGGAGGAGTTGATCTTGCTGAAGAACCTCTGGGACGGCGTGACACTGGTGCGCCGGTCGAAGAGTACTGCGTTGTTGCCACAGGTTTTCTAGTAGACATTCTGACGTCAAGTGACGGCTGTGGATGAATGCGCAAATATGTGTCTCTGTGTGTGTGTGTGCATGCGCGCAAACCCTGCTCCTCGGGGTGTTCCTAAGGGGCAGTTTCTTGCATTTGCAATTTGTCACAACAGCAGGGAGGCAAGGGCTTCAGTGACAAGCCTTGCCAAGCCAAGTCACTGGGTTGGATGCAATGGCTGATCACCACTGTGTACCTGCCTTCTTCCTTTGACATTCCGTAACCGACTTCGCTGTGTGTGGTGCCGTCTTCTAGCGCATCTGTTGTTCTCAGATTTGCAGACAGGCAACGGGCAAAGGTTTCGTGTATGCGAGTGTGCAAGTACAGTGCTTGAGAGCGGCCTGTGGTTGGATGAATGGTTGCCGAAATGTGCTGTACCTGGGGAACAACTTGCTTGGTGGGTAGGTCTATGGTGCGTTGTGATTTAGACATGCAGGTGGAGGTACCGGGCAAGGTTACTAAGTGCCCCCCGTCGGTGACATTGCGGTTGGGCTACGACTTCATTTCAACCAACGGCAACTGTCAGTGCCATTGCTACCCCTTCCGTCTCCCTGGCTTTCGTCCCCTCTGCTATCAGGCGGTTTAAAGGGTTTCTCGAGGACCAGTTGCGAGTCTCTTCTGTGAAACTGCATGAAGATCCTAACTGCACACCGAGGTGAAAGAGACATTCGAGAGCTGGAACAGCATCCTGTGGGACAAGATCGACACAGACTCGCTGGTCCAACAAGCCCGAGATCTCCAAACCCAGGCCAGCACAGCAAACTACAGGAAAGGGTGTCCTAGAAGGCGAGGTCTCGTGTTATATTTATTCTTTTACGCACGCTTCTGACCGCGTAAGTGCTGTAGGTATGCATGTGCGAATCCATGCATGCATGCATGGATGAATGGATGCATGCACGTGTTTGTGAATGCATGTTTGTCTGATATGTATAATGTATGCATGTATGTATGTATGTATGTATGTATGTATTTATGTGTGTGGCAAGGAAAGATCAGGCATAGTAAAGTACAGGTACGTAGGTAGGTAGGTAGGTAGGTAGGTAGGTAGGTAGGTATGTGCTGTATGGATGTGTGGAAGAAAGCAAGTATTTGTGTAAGTAAGTAAGTACGCATGATGTACTGTATGTACGTATGTACGTGTGTACGTATGTATGTACCCAAAAATGTATGTATGTATGTATGTATGTATGTATGTATGTGTGTATGTATGTACTGTATGTACTGTATGTACTGTATGTACTGTATGTACTGTATGTACTGTATGTACTGTATGTACTGTGTGTACTGTCATGTAATGAATGTAATGTAGTCATGTATGTATGTACATATGTATGTATGTAGCCGCTGACAATCAAGTTAGGAAGCCCTGACACGGCGACAGGCTAATACCATGAAGCATAACAGGCAGCTTTGGTGTTGGCTGCCAAGACCGGGCCGCCCGGCTTTCCGGAAGTGGCGACAGCATGCCAACATGGAAAGGTCTCATACAACCCTTTGTCCCTCAAACGCACGCATCGGTTACAGCAGATACGGCAAGAGTTCATGTGGTGCTCATTCATTGGTGCTGATAATTCAGTGGTCTAGTATCATTGTGGCAGCCATTTGGTTTTTGAGTGGGGATGCGCTGCTGCACGACTTTTCCACCTCGACGTCGTTCGTGTTCACACACCGCCAGTTCAGTTTCAAGGAAGGGTTGCTGCAGTTCGCTTGCGCAGAGGCGACTCTTATTGTGGCGTCTGTGCCAGTGGAGCCTCATAGCCAAGCCCACAGGTCTTACAATGATAATGAACATTTGTGGGCATGGGTGCAGCATTTGCTGGACTCACTGCCACATCGATGTGTGCCAGTTTTGCTGCTGGATGCGAATGGTAGGACAGGTTCTGTTGGCAGTGAGGCCGTGAGCTTGGTCCAGCCGCAAAGACAGAATTTCAATGGCTCGCTCATGCATGATGTTCTGCTACATCATCATTTGCTTGCTGTTAAAACTTTCTTTCAAGCTGGAGACACGTACTATGGATGTTTCGCACGTAACAGTCGCACTGATTATGTGTGCTTGCCACAAACGATGCGACACAGGATTCGACAGTGCTGTGTCCTCCATGCCGCTGGAGATAGATTCAGATAGGTTGCAAATCATTCCCAGCCCGGGAAAAAGCGATCATAGGCCAAAGTCGGTGCGTTTTGAACAGGAGCTCACTTACACAGCAACGGCAGCAAGTCCCAAATGGGATCAAATGCGCCTGGTGCAAGGTGTTTTGCAGGGTCGCGGCAGGGAGTCGTTTCTGGCAGCTGTTTGAAGCACAGTGTGTGCCAAGTGTGGAATGGGAAGCACTGGAGTCTGGTCCGCCCGGGCTCCTTTTGGGACAAGCTCAATCGCGTTGTCCTTGAACCCGGTCAGCTTTTCTACAGAAGGGTTGTGGCAAGGCCACACCAACCCGACGACACTGCGCAAGCTGCAGAGGAGCTTTGCCAAGCGCTAGGGCGAGGCTGGCAGCAATGCCAAACCGAGTAAACCGAGTCATACCATCGCGGCAGTACACATACCAAGACCTCAGTGACATGTTTGTCCGCTGGCGAGCTGTGGCTTAACAGAGGCGGCGCCAGAGAGAGTTGGACGTGTTGGCTTAGCGAGATCGGACGAATCGTGAGACTCATTTGCTGGATGAGTATGACTACTCCTACGCTTGGAATTGTGTGGATATGGCTCGAATGTGGGCCACAGCCAGGCAGCTTTCTGCAAAGGCTCTTGCCCCCGGAAACGATTTTACCAAGAACCTGTGCGAGGGCGGCCGGACCCCTCACAGTGGGAGGTTCTTCTCAAGCAGAGCGGTTCAGAAGGTGACTTTGTCAGCAGTGAGGCAGCGTGTGAAGAGGTGTGCTGCGACACATCTACAGTTTGCGCCAATGCAGCTGCTGATTTGCTTGCTTTGCGTCGAGGAGTGCATCGCTTGCGGCCCCGAAAAACAGTGCCAGACTGGTCTTGTCCGGCCGAGCGGTGGCGACGGTTGCTGCACCCGCGATACTTGCGAACCAAGTTGCGCCGCGGAGTGGATTTTGAACCAGAGCCGCTGGGACAGTTTTTCATGCAACGCATGGTGGGGCTCATGCGGTCCGTTGAGATATGGACGCTCACTGGCCATTTGGCACAGAAGTTCCACAGCTTACCCGTAGCCCTTGACCCAGCTCAGGTAGGAGTTGCGCGAGCCGAGTGGACACTGCAAGCACTTGTTATTCGCTGGCCTGCGCCGCGCCCATTTTGCCATTGCAGCTTAATCGCTTCCACCATAATGACCAAGAACAATCCATAAGCCCATAGCCCTGAGCCCAGCAGTATACATACTCCGCTACAGTGGATCCTTGTGTGGAACCACCTCAGTGCCATATCCCTTGGCCGCTGTGCAGTACCGTCTTGGTCAAACAGAGCTGTCGGGCCATTGTCGCACGGCCTGTTTCTCCCGAGGAGCTCCGCAGTACACTACGGATGATAACCGAACTGCCCAGGTGTGCACCGCAGCTGACATAGAGATCATTCGTCGGAACGCATACATATGTTTTCTAGTCAGGAGCTGAATCTTTTGGAGCTTGCATGCACGTCGACCAGTTGTACTTCATATCGTTATGCGAACATGTTAGCTTGGATTCTTACTGGTTTGTTTGGAACCCTTTCTATGACACGAACGATTACTCTCCCAAAGGTGCCTTTCGGGGTTTTTAACAGTGGCTTCAGCCACATCTGCCCCAAAAGGGCGGATCACGCCGGGCGGATGACCGAAGTTTCTCGTGAATTTCCTGCGTGATTCGCTTCTTAGTGTAGTGTTTATTACTCTCATTGGATAGCTTTTTTTAAATGCGCATGAAGCCGCTTTTTTGCACTCTCCTGGGATGTCGCTAAAGCGACATGCGTCTTCAAGATGCCGGGCCGGCACTGCCGCCTTGCGCATCCCTAGACGCTTTCTTGCGGCGGTGGAAGAAGAAAAGTTACCTGTACTGTATTGTACTGTACTGTGCTGTCGTGTAATGACATGTAATGTATGTATGTATGCATGTATGTATGTATGTATGTATGTATGTACGCAGGTATGCAACCGTACTGTACTGTACTGTACTGTACCGTACTGTACTGTACTGTACTGTGCTGTACTGTACTGTGCTGTACTGTACTGTCATGTAATGATGTAATGTAATGTATGTATGTGTGTATGTATGTTTGCAGTATCTAAATAGGTAGACATGTTTGTAAGTTTATTGTTTTATATTTTTATGTATACTTGTATGTGTACTCACGTTTAGACTGCACGTGCGGGCGCTTGCAGATGTGCAGACAATTGCACATGTATGTGCAGCAATGCAGAGCAAGAGTAGCTACGACATGTTACGGCTTAGTTCGTTCATGCATATGACGGTTTCTTCGTTGTTCATGTTGTGACACATAACTATATAGTAATCGTGGTGGATGATCGATACATAGGCATTTTGTCGCTGCGATTTTGAGCTTGACGGCCCAGTCGAGGCAACTGTCGCGGGATAGGAAAGGCTCTTCACGAATCGATGAATGGCTCACCCTTAAATGCGGAAAGCCTTGTGCGTGAGACCTGCTTCTGCTTTCTTTCAATCACATCTAGCGCGATTGTCGGCTTCGTGAGTTGCTTGTGGCAACATCTGTTCCAGCTCAATCCGAGCATCAATGCCGGAGTTGTCGCTTTTTTACAGCACAGTTTCCCTGATAGGGCGTGCTATACTTATGTTGTAAACGCTGTTGTCGCTGGTGTGAGGTTTGCCAAACGCATGGAACCACCCGCGTCCTTTCTGTCGACTTACAGAGCAGAGAGAGTGCCAGCTCAAAGCGAGAAAGCAGGAAGCAGCTCATTGGCGGGCGGGCAATTGCACAGACGAATCAACAAAAATCCCTCGGAGTTGCTTTAAGTTTTTGTTCTTCTTGCAACCCAGATGTTCTCAAGGGGGCGACACTTAGTTCATAAACGTATTGAAGCAGAAGGGCCACAGCAGGAGAGCCACTTTTCGCCATAAAGCTCCACTCTGCAACCTGCTGATTCACCCTGCCCAGATTTGCATTCACAGCAGGAGGCTCAATGACGGTAAAATCTGCACACTTGTGGCTTCTCTTTGCAGGTCAAGAACATGCCGAAGCAGATCAAGGGCTGGCAGCTCTACCGATGGCTCACTGATGAGGTGAAGAACATGGCAACGGTGCTGCCGCTGGCCCTTCGAGCTGCAGCCAGGTTTTTTGCTTTGTTGCTGGCATCTCGGAAAGTGATGCGGCAAGGTCAATGATCTGCATGGCGAAACGATGCGAGATCGCCATTGGACGAGCATCATGACCATTACGCAGAAGACGTTCGAGAAGGGTCCTGAGTTCTGCTTCAAGGACTCTTGCTTGCCTGTCCATTCAGCACCGACATGCCGGCGCTCGAGCCGATATCTCCCAGGACCTTTTGGACTTGAAGCTGCACGAGTTTGCGGAGGACGTTTCGGAGGTGGTTGACCAGAGCGTCAAAGAGGTGGAGACCTTTACAAAGTCCAATACTTGAAAGCGAACCAACCTAATATTGGGAGTAGTTTCGGAATGCAGCCTTTTCCTGCACGAGCACGCAGGCCAAAATCGAGAAAAAGCTTTCAGCCATACGGGCGACTTGGTCGAAGATGCCGGTGTCTTTCGACTGCTCCAACCCAGACTGCCCGCTCCTCGGCGAGCTTGGCATCTCGGCCTGCCTGGAAGAGTACAATTTTAAGCATCTCATTTCCTATCTCGTGGGTGTTTCAGAGTCCCACAATTAGCAAACAGACGCTGTGTCGGGTTCACCTGATGTCGAGTTGTTATTCGGGTGTTTAAGCTGTGGCACCGCATGCTGTGCGTCGCCTCTGCTGCCCTACCCTTGCCATGGCCCAGGCGAGGTGATCGAGAAGTTGGACAGCGACTCGCTTGAGATGATGGGCATGACCTCGCAAGGCCGATTCATCGAGTTTTGCAGCTTGGCGGCATTTGGTATGATGCGATGCCAGCCCGATTTTGCCGCTTCCACTGCACAGGCAAGCCCATGGTGGACGAGTGGAGCGGCAAGCTGCGCGCCATCGACGGAGCTCTCAGCGTCTGGACCAAGGTGCAGGCCAACTGGTGCCGCTTGGAGCCCATCTTCATGCGTCTTGGCCAGATGAGGGAACTCTGCAACAGTGTCTCCTCTGTCCGTTACTTGCACAGAGCAGAAGCCGAGGCAGAGTGCAGACATTCGGTCGCAGCTGCCGGATGATTCCAAGCGCTTCGAACAGATGGATACGGCCTGGAAGGACATGTGGCCTGAGCCGGCTCGGGTTGTTCTGACCTTTGCCCGGTCTTCTCCCACTTTGCGAGCTGAATTGAAGGAGCTGATGATGGATGCCTCAAACAGCTCACTCATTGTGGAGATCTGCTGTGCAGAGGGGCGACCCGGTCTATGCTAGATCAATTTCAGAGTGCGAAGCAGAATCCGACGCCTGTCCCTTCCGAGGCGTGAAGCCAACCTGAAGGCAATTTCCGAGGGAATCGACACCTGTGAGAAGGCTCTGAATGAGTGCCTCGGTATTTACAGACGATAACTGAAGGTTGCAGTGAGCCTCGCAGGTTTATGTTGGTACTCACCCCGACGGACAGACACTGTTTGTTCAGACAATTCCCATGTGGTCGAAGTCTTTTTTGTGTCCCTCTGTAAAGGTTGGCGTGGTCCACGTCTTAGCCATATGAGAGGCAACTTAAAGCAAAGAGGAAACCAGAAACCGAACATGTCTTCCCTAACTACGGGAGCAACCGCACATGACTTCCCTGTACGAGCAACTCGGGGGCTGAAGATGTCTTCCGCCGCAGAAGCTGCAGACGTCGTCGCTCGATGAGGAAACAGTAGCAAACACGAAAGCGCAACACAACAAAGTCACCCACCTGCTCGTGTCTTCGCTTCGTAAGGGGCGGGGGTTGGGATTAAGACAATGAAAACCCGAATATGTCCTGCAGAAAGCACAACGCAACAACGGGAAAACTGCACGCTTCTTGGCTTTGTGAACGAGTTGGGAGGTGAAGTTGAAAGGGTGAAAACCAAACATGTCTTCCAGAAAAACAAGCAGCAGGACAACTGTACACGTCTTCGCGTTCCGAGCAACTGGGTGAACTTCAGCAATGACAAACCGCACACGGCTACCGGGAAAATGCAACACCGCACAGGGACGAACTGGACATGTCTTAGTCGGACTTCGGGGAGTCGACATGAAAGTCACGAAAACCGAGCACTTTCCAGAACGAAAGTGCAGCACAGCAAAAGGAAACCCCTACACACGACTTCGCTTTTTGAGCAGCTCGGACGGGTCGAGATTGAATTTTTGCCACGGTAAGCGGTCCCAGCCCGCGAAGAAAGGACACCAAGATGTTCCAAGAGTCAGTCTCTGAGCTCCCAAGACAGCCCCATGAGTCAACCCTATTCATCACGAAAGTGCCACAGTATTGATAAAATTCGGGGTCCGACCCGGACGAAAGAGCACGATTCCTAATGCCTTGGGCTGGGAAGGCTGCAGAATGCAGGCTGCCTCACGAAGGAGCACGGCCAACGCTTGCACACTTCCACACTGCAGCCAGGGCCACTGCAGGGCCACTGCAAGCTCCTTGTCACCCTCAGCTTGCATCAGGTATCTGGAGCAGAAGAAGAAGGCCTTCCCCCGTTTCTATTTCGTGGCAAACCAGGCATTGCTGGACATCCTGTCCAATGGAGCAAAGCCGCTGAAGGCCAGGGGAAGCGCTGCAACAGTGGCTAACTCTGGCTAGTTGCACCCACCTCATGCAAATTTCCGTCGTCGCAAATACCCGAAGTTGAGTCAGTTGCTCTTGCCACATTCATGATTGCCGGTGGAGGTTGCAGAGTACTTGGGAGACATCTTCGATGGCGTGAAGACTCTGGATTTCTCAAAAGCTCCAGACACTGGCCGAGTCTCTGCTGCTATTGTGCTACAAGGTAGGAGCTGCGATGAGGACTCTGGCACCAGACGATAGGCAATGGGCTCTCAATCCCGAGCGCGAGTTGCCACTGAAGTGCTATCGTGATTGCCATCAAGCCTTCATCTCTCTATTTAAAAGTTCTTGCAACGCAAAAGACCTCCTCCACGTAGTCGGCCTCAATTTCTGCACAGACGTGACTACAGCTTAGTTACAGCTTCGTTGGCCCAAGCCGAGCCTATAGACGCTATGAAAAGCCACATGACTCCAGTGCAAAAGCTCGTTATGATCACGGGAAGCACCCTTACCACTGCAGGCCGTGCTGGCGAAATGGTTCAGCACCGGCGTAGAAGTCTAGCAATCCGAAGGCAGTAAGACCCCGTAGCAATCTGCTGTGGTGATGTCCCTTGCTTTAGCATCTTGGATCAGGAATCGCTTGCGGCCACATCTCCAAGGACACGGAGAAAGTGGCTTGGGCGGAGGACATGCACATCGATGGTGCTGTGGAGGCTCTTCTTTCGAGCTCACGTGCGGGGCTGTAAGGGGCCCTGAAGCCGCGCAGGGCTACCTCTTGCAGCTCGAGGGCCACCTCCGCCTGCAGCTGCGCATCGAGCTAGAGCAGGCCGAAGTCCAAGGGTTCGGGGAACGGTGAGGCATTCTGGGCTTAGGCGCTGTGGTAGACACCCTTCTGTCATGTAGCGCCATGCCCCATGTGTTCCTAGAGTTCTGCGCGGACAAGGCAAGGGCAACTGCAGACAACTGGGAGCTGGACAACCCCCGAGAGTCCAAGCCTTGGATGTGTCCTACACTAGGCTGCGCAAGGAATTCCTTGGATCCAAGCCTGTCGATGCCACGAGATGTTCTAATGCGTGTTTGGTGTGAGAACCAAGGTTCTGGTTAGAAGCCTACTGTGCACAGCTCTCATTGGTGGCGACCCAGATCATGTGGACAGAAGAGACCAATCGGGTTTTCGAGGAGATTGAGAGTGGAAGCGAGACAGCAATGAAGGATTACAAGCGTGTGAACGACGAGCGCATCGAAAAGCTCATCAAGCGTGTGCAAACGAAGCTGAGCAAGGATGTACGTAACAAGATCATCACGCTGATCACCATTGATGTCCATGGCCGCGATATCATTGAGCAGATGGCCATTGCAAAGATCTCGGACAACACTAACTTCAAGTGGCTCTCACAATTGCGATTCCACTGGAACTACTGCCCGCAGGGTCAGAACCTGGTTACCTACACCCCAGATGACCTGAAGACGTGCGTCATCCGCATCTGCGATTGGACCACCATCTACTGCTACGAGTACGTGGGCAACTGTGGACGCTTGGTGATCACACCCCTGACAGATCGATGCTACATCACATTGACGCAGGCATTGGGGTTGACTCTCGGAGGAGCACCAGCTGGTCCTGCAGGCACGGGGAAGACAGAGACTACAAAGGATCTGTCCAGAGCACTTGGATTGCAGATCGTGGTTTTCAACTGCAGTGACCAGATGACTTACCAGACCATGGCCCAGATTTTCATGGGCATTGCTCAGACTGGTTGCTGGGGCTGCTTCGACGAGTTCAACCGAATCTCAATCGAGGTTTTGTCCGTCGTGTCGACACAGTACAAGTGCATTTTGGACGCCATTCGTGCGAATTTGCAGGTTTTCCTTTTCGCAGAGGAGGAAACCAAGCTGATCTCAACTTGCGGTGCTTTCATCACGATGAACCCCGGCTATGCTGGGCGAACCGAGTTGCCAGAGAACCTCAAGGCACTTTTCCGCTCTGTGGCGATGATTGTGCCGGACCTGCGTTTCATTTGCGAGAATATGCTCATGTCCGAGGGTTTTATCAAGGCTCGGCCACTGGCGAACAAGTTTGTCCAGCTTTATTCACTGTGCAAGGAGTTGCTCAGCAAGCAGATGCATTACGATTGGGGCCTTCGAGCAGTGAAGTCGCTCTTGCGACAGGCCGGCACTCTGAAGCGACTGGAGCCCGAAAGTGACGAGAATCCAGTGCTGTGTCGTGCGCTCCGCGATTTCAACACACCGAAGATCACAACTCTTGACATGCCCATCTTCCTGCGCTTGATCATGGATTTGTTTCCCGGAGTGTGGCCGGACCCATTCAGTGATCCCGAGTTTGAGAAATTCTGCTGCAACATCGCCAAGCAGCGGGGCCTGCAGGCGGATCCCCAGTTCATCATCAAGATCGTGGGTATGTTGGGTATCCTTGGCGTGCGCCATTGCATGTTCATCATTGGTCCATCCGGATGCGGCAAGACAGAGGTGTGGAAGACGTTGATGGAGGCCTTGCGCTCGCGGGGTGAGGATGGGTATCCTGGCTGACAGCGCAGCCAGCCATTTTGACCTCTTCACCTGCTTAATCTCGACGTTTGCTAGTTTGTGTGTTTGTGTCTGGTGGCTGAGGCAGTGGGAGCAAGCGAACCCCAAAGCAGTAACCAGTGATGAGCTGTACGGCACAATGTCCAAGACGAAGGACTGGGGGTGTTGAATTGGAAAGTCGGGAGAAAGTGCCACGGGCATGACTCATTCCCACGTACTGTTTGAGGAGTGGAAAGATGGTCTGATTGCAGTGATTTTCCGAAACATGAGCATCCTGGAAAGCATGTTTTGCGACCTTCATGTTTGTTTTTTGGCAGGGCTCAAAGAGACATGTGTCTAAGGCAAAGAGATGAACGGCTACAAGGCATCGCACCAGCACAAGTGGGTGATCTTGGATGGTGACATTGATGCCACGTGGATCGAGTCCATGAACACGGTCATGGATGACAACAAAGTCTTGACGCTGGTGTCAAACGAACGAATTCCGTTCACACCGACCATGCGCATGATTTTGGAGATTCAAGACATGAAGCATGCGAGTCCGGCGACGGTTTCTCGTGGTGGCGTGCTGTTCATCAACGAGACAGACATTGGTTGGAAGCCGTATGTTGAGAGCTGGAGAGAGAAGATGGACCAGATACCACAGGGAGCTTTCTACCTGCACTTCTCCAACTACTTCGAAGCCAACATCGAGGCCATTCGCAAGTCCTTCAACTTTTCTTGTCCCATGCTGGACATGGGCTTCATCAACAGTCTGACTTGCTTCATAGATGCGCTTCTGAACAACAACACGAAAGAAAACATGGAGGCGCTGCGCACGATGAGTCCAGAAGATCAGAAAATGAGCTATGATGCCTTGTTCTGCTATGCCATGATGTGGACCATCGGTGGCTCCATTGCAGATGACAAAACTGTGAACTACCGCAAGAGCTTCAACGCCTACATGAAGGGGCTGTCGAAGGCGGTGAGATTCCCTGACCAGGGCGACTGCTATGATTTCATTTACGAGCCGAAAGCCAAAGACTGGGTCAGCTGGGAGACTTACATCAAGCCTTACCAGCCGCTTGCGGAGCAAATGTACCAGAACATCGTCATCAGTAACATGGAGTTGGAGCGCATGAAGTACATTCTGGAGCTTCATGTGGCCAGGAAAAAGCCTGTGCTTTTTGTAGGTGTCGCAGGCACGGGCAAGACAACAATTGTGAAGGATTACCTGGCTGACATGAAGGCCAACAATGAGGACATGATCAGCATGTCAATCAACAACAACAACTACACAAGCAGCTTTGCCCTGCAGAACATCATCATGAGTGCATTGGACAAGCGATCTGGCCGAACGTTTGGGCCACCAGCAAACAAGAAGTGCGTCTTCTTCATCGACGATTTGAACATGCCCTACGTCGACACGTACGACACGCAGTCCGCGATCATGCTTCTGACCCAGATGCTGGCCTACAGCCAAGTGTATGATCGGGCAGCTCTGGAGGACAAACGGGACCTTGTCGACATCCTTTTCACTGCATGCATGAATCCCAAGGCCCGGGAATACCGCACTTCTGCATTCGAACTGTGCTTTAGCTTGCGCAGTTTGCCGCCAAACTCAGAGAGTCTGAGCGCCCGAGTCCTTACAGATTTCGTTCGACCTTACCTTGCCAATCGATGCCCAGGCAGGTTCCTTCATGGTGAACCCGCGCTTGCAGAGGCGATTCACAGTGCTTACCACGTGCCTCAGAACCATATTGGGGGGAAGATGGGTCACGGAATTCTGCCTTGACACACGGATGATCAAACAAAGAGCCGAGGTTCACTCCGAATGCGCCTACCATTTCCGGAATCTACAGCTCCATTCTGGAGCTGCCTCCGCATGATAAAAACTTGAGAACGGATCTTTTTCTTCCGATGCAGTAGGGTTGGCCTTTGTGGGACCGTGTGGCACGAGCCCTCGCTTTCAGCATGTTAATGTGTTTCCCTTGATGCACACGTGTGGCTGTTGCGTGCAGAGGAGAAGCATCTGGGTGCTTTCGTTGGGCCAATTCAAAAGCTGTGCGAGCCGATTGTGCAGGTAGGAGGGCCTGGGCAAAGTAGATCCAGTTTTGGAGGGCTTGCCTTTTCTGGAACAGTCGCATGCATGTGCGGTGCATGTTTCTCTGCTGCTGAAGTTGCTGTCCATTTGCTGCTGCCAGGCAACAATCGAAGTTCTGGTTGCGGGCATTCTGAACACGCCGTGCTTCTTGCCATCTGCGGCGAAGTTCCACTACCAGTTCAACCTGAAGGCGAGGATTGCAGTTTCTTTGCAACTGCATTTGTTGCGTTTGTTGGCCGCCATGCTGTCCTGTGTTTGTTCTTGATCAAGGATGTCGGCAACATCTTCCAAGGCCTGCTGAACACGAATGCGAATGTCTACAAGGATGGCGCATCCAAGTTCGCTCGGGTGTGGCTCCATGAATGCTACCGTGTTTTCTCAGATCGCCTTGTCAACGCTTCGGACCAGGGTGAATTGCAGGGAATCCTTGAGAAGGCTGCCGGAAAGCACTTCGGAAGCATCCCGAAGGATGATCTGTTTGCCCAGCCACTGATCATGACATCTTTTGTTTCGGCAGCGACGGGCAGCGAGCGCTATTATCTACTGGCAAAGGATATGCCCAGTCTCAAGAAGGTTGTGGAGGACAAGTTGACTGAATACAACGAGACCTTTGCAGCCATGAATTTGGTCCTTTTCGATGATGCCATCAACCATGTCTGCCGAATCTGCCGCATCACAGACAACCCTTGCGGACATGCTCTGCTGGTCGGAGTTGGCGGATCCGGGAAGCAGTCCTTGGCCAAACTGTCGACCTTCATCAATGGCCAGGACTTGTTGAGCATCCTGGTCAATCAGTCGTACGGCACTGAGGCATTGAAGCTGGACTTGCAGGAGTTCTACAAAAAGGCTGTCATCAAGCCTGGCACTCCGCATGCTTTCCTGATGACAGACGGGCAAATAGCCGATGAGCGCTTCTTGGTGTTTATCAACGATATGCTCTCGAGCGGAGTCATCCCGGATTTGTTCACCCGCGAGGAATATGATGGTTTGCTGGGCAGTGTTCGGAATGCTGCAAAGGGTGCAGGCTATTCGGACGACCGTGACGGACTCTTCGGCTTCTTTATTGACAAGTTCCGGCGCAACCTGCACTACATTCTTTGCCACTCGCCTGTTGGTGATGACTTTCGCATTCGCGGTCGAAAGTTCCCTGCACTCATTAGTTGCATGGTGGTCGACGAGTTCATGGCTTGGCCACGTGATGCTTTGGATGGTGTGGCACGCCGCTTCCTTGTGGAGCTGGTCAACCAGGGCAATCTCCAGGATGAAGAGATTTTGGGCCTGGTGGCTGCCAACATGGCTGAGGTGCATTTGTCCATCGAAGGAGCTAACAAGAGATACCTGGAGGCGGAGCGACGCCACAATTACTGCACTCCCAAGTCCTTCCTGGAGCTGATCAGCTTCTACATCCGGATGCTTTCCGAGAAGCAGTCTTCCGTGAGCGTGAATTGCGAGCGCTTGGAGCGTGGTCTTGCAATCATGGAGCAGGTGCAGTCCAAGGTAGAAGGCCTGAAGGAGGACCTGAAGATCACCATGGTCCAAGTCGAGGAGAAGAAGGCCGCTACGGCTGTGCTTATCGAGCAGGTGACCAAGGCCTCGGCAACAGCCGCGGAGGAGAAAGCCGGCGCAGACATCGAGGCCGAGAAGACCGGTAAGCTGGCGGCCGACGCGGCGGAGCTGCAGGCACAGGCCGATGGCGAGCCCCTCTGCTTTACTGTTTTGACTCCTTCTTTGCCTCTTGAACTCCCTTCTCATTCCTTGCGATTGCACAACCAAGGCTGTCAGAGGCCATGCCAGCGATGGAAGCCGCTGCTGCGGCGGTGGACTGCCTGGACAAAAACTCCATCGGTGAATTGAAGGGCTTCGGCAAGCCTCCGCCGGAATGCGTCGATGTGTGCGCTGCCGCCGCTTTCTTGCTGAGGAACGAGAAGAAAAAGATTGATTGGAAAGCAGCCCAGAAGATGATGGCCAATCCTCAGTCTTTCATTGATGAGGTCAAGACCTTCAATGCTAATGAGATCCCTGAGAATACCCTCAAGGAGGTTGATGCCATCATTGCGCTGCCCTTCTTCAACTACGAGACCATGAAGGCACGGTTCTGAACCCCGGCTCTGATCTAAAGCCGCTTTAGCCATGCCAGCGGCTCTTGACTTAATTTGTGCCAGGGCAAGAGTGTTGCGGCCGCCAACTTGGCCAACTGGGCCATCAATTGTGTCAAGTATCACAAGATCTACGTCAAAGTGGCACCGCTCATGGCCAAAGTCAAGGAAGCCACGGACACCAAGAACACTGCTGAGGCTAGCCTCGCCATTGTGCTGGCGAAGGCGGGGCCGGCTGGCTTGTGACGGTGCATCGCTTGTGCCTTTTGGACATGTTACAACAGCTTGGAACCTGGTCAGGTTGCAGAAATCGAGGCGGAGTGTCAGAGGCTGGAAGAGAAGCTAAATGGTGCGGTGTCAGAGACACTTGGTCTTGGTTTGCATCAGTTTTCGCCCTATTGGTCGTTAAAGGCACGGGTGCCACATGTTCATCAATGTTCCTCAGCCTGTCCATTGTGTAAAGCCTCGACATATGCCATAGAGTTATAACGCTGACGCAGCTTGTCTGACTTCTATACACCCACCCGAGGAAGGAGCGCGTGGAAGCACAGGCGGCAGTCACCTGGCATGGTGATTTGCACTACTTTGCTTTCTGTTGCAAAGCCATGAAGTTATCCAGCCAGCCACAACACCGGACAATTTCGTTCAGTTCCGTTTTATGGCGAGCATCAACTCTAAATGCATCGCCCCACCCTTTCAACCACTTGGCCAGCAAGAGAACCAGCAATGGGGCTGTGAAGCGCTGACGCTGGGGTATCCAGGAATGTCGAGTGCGAATTGTGCACACGTTCACCTGAGTCGAAAAGTTCCCCAAGTCTTACGTAAGATGATGCTAGCTGCTAGACTAACCCTTTTGCAGCTTGCTACCATGACGTGCTGCTAGTATGAGTGGACCTTCGCCTGAATGCGTGCCTGCCCCGTGCGAGTGTGCGAGTCGAAACGATTTTGCAAGACTTTTGCAAGACCTTTTGCCAGAATAGCAAGAGCATCTTGGAAGTCAGATCACAAAATACCATTCCGAGACCGAGTCACTGCGCAGCCAGAGTAGGCCTTACCTCTGTCTCCAAGGCTTGCCTGGAGAAGTTGGGCCTTGCAGAGCGTTTGGTCAACGGCCTGGCAGATGAGTATCAGCGATGGACCGCCACTGTCAAGGACTGGGACTGGGTCGAAGAAGCAAGGTGTCCGGGGAGAAGATTCCCATTTTGGGAATAGCTTGGCCCTGGCCTTAGAGAACGTGTAATGCAAACTTAAGCAAACTTCGATAGCATCGGCGCCGTGGGCATGTCGGCACGGTCTCGAGGCGCCTTTCGTGCGGTGATAGTCCAAGTTGTAACTCTCACGAGCTGCTCGAAGGCCCCTCCATCCGAAACCGGCCTACTTGCTGTCATTTACTATCCATGACGAGAGCATGGAGAGATGTTGATGGCATGTCAGGACCTGAAAGACTTGCAGCTCAAGTTGATCGGCAACTGTCTGCTGGCCTCGGCCTTTGTCGGCTACATCTCACCTTTCTCAATGTCCTTCCGCGTGCAGCTGTGGAAGGAAGGATGGACTGGCGATGTTACCAGCCGCGGGATTCCAATCAGTGCAGGTATTGACCCTCTGAAGGTGCTGTGCACCGAGGCGGACATCGCCAGCTGGCAAAATGAGGGGCTGCCGTCTGACCGCATCTCCGTGGAGAATGCTGCAGTGGTCACAAGCTGCTCGCGATGGCCGCTCATGATCGATCCACAGCTGCAAGGTGTGAAGTGGGTCAAGCAGCGATTGGGCGAGGACCTTTCCGTGTTGCAGTTCACCATGAACCAATGGTTACAGAAAGTGATCTTTGCCATTCAGATGGGTGGCCAGCTTTTGATCGAAGCAGTCGGCCAGGAGATTGACGCTATCCTGGAGCCTGTCCTATCCAGGGCTGTGATTAAGCGAGGCCGAAGTGCGATGATCATCAAGATTGGAGGTGAAGAGGTGGACTACGATCCCAAGTTCCAGCTCTACCTGCAGTCGAAGCTGCCAAACCCACACTACAGGCCGGAGATTGCCGCCCAGTGCACAATCATCAACTTCATTGTCACACCGGATGGTTTGGAGGACCAGATCTTGGCTATGGTCGTGAATGTCGAGAAGCCTGAGCTGGAGCAGGAGAAGCAGGAGCTGGTGCGGAGACAGAACGATTTCAAGGTCACCCTGTCTCAGCTTGAGAGCGATTTGCTGTCCCAGCTTTCCACAGCAGACCCTGCGACAATTCTTGACAACATTCCTTTGATCGAGGGATTGGAGAAGACCAAAGCCACCTCCAAGGAGATTGCCATCCAAGTAGAGCAGGCTCAGAAAACAGAGGTGGAAATCAACACGTCGCGCGAGCTCTACCGTCCTGTCGCTGCGGAGGGTTCTATGTTGTTCTTCTTGATTATTCAGTTGTGCTTCATCGAGCACATGTACCAGTTTTCTTTGGATTCCTTCGTGAACTTCCTGTACAAAGCTATCGATCGCACAGAGCCCACTGACGACATCACTGAGCGTGTTAAGCGGCTGATTGCTGTCATCCGTATGACAATCTTCCGCTGGGTGAATCGTGGACTCTTTGAGCGTCACAAGCTGATATTCTGTTCGATGCTTACCTTCAAGCTGTTCCAGAAGGGGTTCTTGCAAGAAGATTTCAACGTGTCCTATTTCAACTACTTGCTCAAAGCACCGATGGCTGTCGGCATGGAAAACCCACTGCAGGAGTGGCTGCCAGCAAAGAACTGGGGTATGATTCTGAAGCTGAACGACTTGGAAGGCTTCGAGAGCTTTGCGCAGAACATGGAGAAGGATGCACCCAACCGCTTCAAAGAGTGGTTCAATGAGATTGCACCAGAAGAGGTGAAGTTGCCATTGGATTGGAAGCGACTGGACTCTGTACCCTTCCAGAAGCTTTTGGTTCTGAGAGCCTTGCGACCCGACCGGTGCTGCGCTGCCATGGCAGAGTGGATTCGCAATGCATTGCCCAATGGTCGAGACTACATGGACTGCGACGGCTCCCTCTCCTTTGCGGCAGTCTTGAGCAACTCCTTCGAGGATTCCACCAGCACCACCCCCATCTTCTTTATCCTGTCTCCGGGCGCAGACCCTGTCAAAGAGGTGGAATCGATGGGCAAAAAGAGGCCAGAAGGCTTGAGCCTGGGTCAAAACTATTGGAACGTTGCCATGGGTCAGGGACAAGATGTCGTTGCTATGGGCAAGCTGGACATCGGACACCGCGAAGGCCATTGGGTCATGTTGCAGAATATCCACCTGATGCCCAAGTGGTGTGTGGAGCTTGAGAAGAAGCTGGATGTCTTCGCAGTGGAGAACAGCCATCCCAACTTCCGATTGTTCCTTTCGGCAGATCCCAGCAAGGGAATCCCGATTGGTATATTGGAGCGTTCCATCAAGTTGACCAACGAGCCTCCACAAGGTATGCTGGCCAATTTGCGTCGATCGTTTGCCCTCTTCCCGAAGGAGGACTTCGAGGACAAGGATGCCAAGGTCAAGTCCATCCTCTTTGCCTTGTGCCACTTCCACTCTATCATGTTGGAGCGAAAGAAGTTTGGCCCCATGGGCTACAACATGATGTATCCATTCTCAGCCGGAGACTTGCGGGACTCTGCGCAAGTGCTGTACAACTACCTGGAAGGTTCTTCCGCGGTGAAGATTCCATGGGACGACCTGCGCTACATTTTTGGTGAGATCATGTATGGAGGACACATCGTGGATGATTGGGATCGACGCATGTCGCAGAAGTACTTGCTGTATTTCATGCGGGACGAGCTGCTGGACGAGATTGACATGATTCCATATGCAGAGGGCAAGCTGTCCTGGCCTTCTCCCCAGCCTGCACCGCACGAGAGATACCTCGAGCACATTGAGACAATGCCACCTGAGTCTCCGCTCATGTTCGGTATGCATCCAAACGCGGAGATCAATTTCCGAACCACCGAATGCGACAAGGTCTTCGACATGCTCCAGATGCTCACGAATGGAGGAGGTGCCGGAGAAGGTGATGACGAAGCTGCCATGACGCCAATGACCATCGCCCAGATGACGTGCGACGAAATCTTGGAAGAGGTGAACGAAAAGCGCTTCCCCACCGACGATGTTAACCGTGGTATGACCACGGAAGACAAAGGCCCTTACCAGTTTGTCTTCCTGCAGGAGTGTGAGTACATGAATGCTTTGCTGTACGAGATGGTCAAGGGCCTGCAGGAGACTGAACAACAAGCGAGAACAACAGCTCTAGTGCATCCTGTTTCTCGGATTTTCCGAAGAGACGGGACTGCGCTTGAATTTGAAGTTCCTTGACACTTGCACACAGGAGCTCCAGCTTGGTTTCCGCGGTGAGCTGACCATGAGCGAAGGCAGCTTGTCTTCTCTAACCGGACCCGCTTCGTTGCCCTGTCGACCGTGCTCTGACCTCCGCTCTCCCTCTCGCCGTGTCTTTCTTCCTCTGACTTGCAATAACAGCTTATCTGCAGATCGTGTTATCGTCACCATTGCTTTTTGTCTCTCTCTCTCTCTCTCT